TTGGTATTTGGATCGGGATTGCATTGTATTTGTAAATGGCTTTGAGTACAATTGTCGTTTTCACTATGTTGAGTCTGCCTATCCATGAGCATGGTATGTTTTTCCATTTATGTAGATCCCTTTGGGTTTCTTGCAGTGTTTTGTAGTTTTGTAGTGTTTTGTAGTTTTCTTTGTATAGGTCTTTTACATCCTTAGTTAGATATATTCCTAAGTATTTTATTTTTTTAGGAGCTATATAATTGATATTGTTTTCCCGATCTCCTTTTCATCGTTCTCTTTATTAGGTGTATAGGTATCCAGCTGATTTTTGTCATACATACTTCTTATTATACAATATTGAATAAGTTTGAGAAACAATGGGCTCAAACACAGCAATGATTGTGAGGATGGCACAGGACTGGGCAGTGTTTCGTTTTGTTGTGCATAGGGTCGCTATGAATCAGAACTGACTCGAACTGCACCTAGCAATAACAAGTGTACAATATGATAAGATAGTAAGTTTCCTACATGGGCAAAGTATAATGTTTAACATTTTATATTTTTAAACATGCATAGTGATTGCAATCTATTCTATTCCAAGTCACAGTGCAGCTTTTGCTACAATGTCTAGAAATTTCTTTCCACCTGAAATGTCCTTTTGTCCTTAAATTTCACCTTTAAAAATTCAGTTAATTTCCAAGATCTGTGTCTTATATTATCGCATCATCTTTTGATCTGGATCAAATGTAATCATAGCACATTATGATTTTAGTGAGTTTACAAAAAAGCATTCTTTTATGTTCTGTTGGTAGTATTCAGTATTCTTCATAAAGTAGCACATATTCAGAAAAACTAGAGGGATGACAGACTGAATAATTTATTTACAAAATCAGTTATTTAAATCATGCTATTGTATGCAATTTTAGTTTTCTGTACTTTTCTAACATCAAGAAAATTATAAAATTTTGCCACATTTCTATGTGTCTTAGTCACTAAATAGCAAAATTTTAAATCAATCTTTTTATTGGTTCTGAAGTGCTTACTAAAATGAAGACCTTGGCATGCTTCGTGTTTTGTTTAAAATGAACTTTAACATGTGTCACATAATTTTGAAAAATAGATAAGAAAATGCATGGAATTTTTACTGTCAACAGAAATAATGTTAACAGCAAATGACTTTCACTGAATTGATCACTGGACTGCTAATTGCCAAATCCAGTGGTCTCTTTTCAGTATTCATCCGGATTGAGATATGGCATTTGTCATGGTTGAATCCTCTCCTCTCTTGGCTTTCCTGACACCACTCATTTCTGATTCTCTTCCTTCTTGTTTTACTGTTTTTAGTCATCTTTATCAGTTCTGAATGTCTGTGTTCCTCTTAGAATCCAAGTTTTGGGATTTTTAAAAAACTGTACCTGAATGAAAGGTCTCACTTACAGGCTTCACGAGTCATCTTTACAATAGAGAATCTCAGTTTATCTCCAGCCCTAGCCTGTTTCCCCTGAGCACCACTTTTTTAACTTTAAAAAAAAATTATGGAATACAATAAACAGAGAAGTTCATAAAACAAAGGTACAATATATATGTATAAAAAAATTACCCATCTATCTGTTACCCAGGTCAAGATAGGGAATATCACCAGTGCCTCAGAAGTCTACCCAGTCACACCCTGCTCCCTTATCCTGAGTTTTATAACAATCACTTCTTTGCTTTATTTCTGGTTGTGTCATCTTTCTATGCATCTCTGGTACATACAGTTTAGTTTTCCCCATTTCTGAATTTTATATATAATCATGTTGAATATTTTCTTTCACCTCTCTTCATTCTTTATTCACCATTATGCTTCTAAGAGTCATCATTTTATTGTTGTACAGTACTCCACTGTATGAATGTATCACAATGTGTTTATCCATTCTGCTATTAATAGACATTTGGAAATTTCCAGGTTGTAGCTATTATGAACAGTGCTGTGATGATGAACATTCCTATACACTATACTGATCACACGTGCACAAATTTCTCTAGCACGTATACCAAGGTGTGGAATTGTTGGGTCATAGGGCATGCAAATCTTCAACTTTATTTTCCAAAGTGCTTGTACCAGTTTAAACTCCAAACCACCGCATAGAAATGTTGTTTCACATCCTCCCCGACACTTGGTGGTGTCAGATGTTTTAATTTTTGCCAGTCTGGTGGGTATGTAGTGATAATTCATCATGGTTTTAATTTCCATTTACTTGATCACTAATGAGTTTGGCC